CAAATTCCCCCAAATTCACCCCAAATCTCCGCCCCCCAGGCCCCGGCGCCCCGCCCCCGGCCTCGCCGGTCCTCACCCTCCGCCCGCCGTCCCGCGAGGAGTTCCAAGGCCCCTACCGCAACTCCACCCTCCTCTGCCAAATCCGCGGCTCCCGGCGCAGCCTCGGCTCCGCCCCCATCCAATGGCTGCGCAACGGCGCCCCGGTGCGCGAGGGCGTGGCCGAGGAGGGGCCGGTCCCGGAAGGTCCCGGCGTCTTCGTGGCCGGCAGCCGGGTGGTGGTGACGGAGGCCGAGTGGGAGAGCGGCGTCGTCTTCACGTGCCAGGCCGGCGAGGAGATGAGGAACACCAGCAAGACCATGGAGTGCGGCTGTGAGTATTTTGGGGGGGGGAAAGTGAAAAAAATTGGGGTTTTGGGGTGAAAAATAGCTCAAAAAATGAGGTTGGTGGAGGTTGGGTTGAGTTGAGTTGAGTTGAGTTGAGTTGAGTTGAGTTGAGTTGAGTTGAGTTGAGTTGAGTTGAGTTGAGTTGAGTTGAGTTGAGTTGAGTTGAGTTGAGTTGAGTTGAGTTGAGTTGAGTTGAGTTGAGTTGAGTTGATTGGGTTGAATTGAGTTGAGTTGAATTAATTGGGTTGAGTTGAGTTGAGTTGAGTTGAGTTGAGTTGGGTTGAGTTGAATTAATTGGGTTGAGTTGGGTTGGGTTGATTGAGTTGGGTTGAGTTGAGTTGACTTGGGTTGAGTTGAGTTGAATTGAGTTGGGTTGAGTTGAGTTGGGTTGGGTTGAATTGAGTTGAGTTGAATTAATTGGCTTGAGTTGGGTTGGGTTGAGTTGGGTTGAGTTGGGTTGATTGAGTTGGGTTGAGTTGGTGGGTTGAGTTGGGTTGGATTCAGTTGAGTTGGGTTGGGTTGGGTTGAATGAGGAGATGAGGAACACCAGCAAGACCATGGAGTGCGGCTGTGAGTTTTTTTGGGGGGGAAAAGTGAAAAAAAATTGGGGTTTTGGGGTGAAAAGTAGCTCAAAAAATGAGGTTGGTGGAGGTTGGGTTGAGTTGAGTTGAGTTGAGTTGAGTTGAGTTGAGTTGAGTTGAGTTGAATTAATTGTGTTGAGTTGGGTTGGGTTGGGTTGAGTTGAATTGAGTTGATTGAGTTGGGTTGAGTTGAGTTGAGTTGAGTTGGGTTGAGTTGAGTTGAGTTGAGTTGGGTTGGTCATGGTTGAGTTGGGTTGGGTTGAGTTGAGTTGGGTTGAATTGAGTTGAGTTGAATTAATTGGGTTGAGTTGAGTTGAGTTGAGTTGAGTTGAGTTGGGTTGAGTTGAATTAATTGGGTTGAGTTGGGTTGGGTTGATTGAGTTGGGTTGAGTTGGGTTGAATTGAATTGGTTGAGTTGAGTTGGGTTGAGTAGGATTGAATTGATTGAGTTGAGTTGAGTTGGGTTGGGTTGAGTTGAGTTGGGTTGAATTGAATTCAGTTGAGTTGGGTTGGGTTGGGTTGAGTTGGGTTGGGTTGGGTTGAGTTGGGTTGGGTTGGGTTGAATGAGGAGATGAGGAACACCAGCAAGACCATGGAGTGCGGCTGTGAGTTTTTTTGGGGGGGAAAAGTGAAAAAAATTGGGGTTTTGGGGTCGTTTTGGGGTGAAATTCCCGTAGAAATTGAGCAAGAAATGGGATTGGTAGAGGTTCAGTTGAGTTGGGTGGAAATGAGTTGGGTTGGGTTGAGTTGAGTTGGGTTGAGTTGAGTTGGGTTGAGTTGGGTTGAGTTGGGTTGAATTGATTGACTTGATTTGGGTTGAGTTGGTTGAGTTGAGTTGGGTTGAGTAGGATTGAATTGATTGACTTGAGTTGAGTTGAGTTGGGTTGAGTTGAGTTGAGTTGAATTAATTGTGTTGAGTTGGGTTGGGTTGATTGAGTTGGGTTGAGTTGAGCCAACACCGATGATCGTTTTGGGTCAAAACCACCCAAAACCATCAAGAAGGGTCTTCCAGTTGGCCAACACTCAACTCCAATGACCATTTTGGGTCAAAACCATCCAAAACATCAAGAAGGGTCTTCCAGTTGGCCAACACTCAACTCCAATGACCATTTTGGGTCAAAACACCCAAAACCATCAAGAAGGGTCTTCCAGTTGGCCAACACTCAACTCCAATGACCATTTTGGGTCAAAACCATCCAAAACATCAAGAAGGGTCTTCCAGTTGGCCAACACTCAACTCCAATGACCGTTTTGGGTCAAAACTACCCAAAACATCAAGAACGGTCTTCGAGTTGACCAACACTCAACTCCAATGCTCGTTTTGGGTGGAAAAGACCGAAAACCATCATGAAGGGTCTTCCAGTTGACCAACACTCAACTCCAATGACCGTTTTGGGTCAAAACCTTCCAAAACATCAAGAACGGTCTTCCAGTTGACCATTATTCAACACCAACACCCATTTTTGGCTAAAATCCACCCAAAACCATCAAGAAGGGTCTTCCAGTTGACCAACACTCAACTCCAATGATCGTTTTGGGCCAAACCCACCCCAAACCATCATGGGATTTTTGGGGTGGAATCATTGGGGTTTTTGGGGTGAAATTGGGGTATTTTGGGGTGAAAAATGGGATTTTTGGGGTGGAATCATTGGGGTTTTTGGGGTGAAATTGGGGTATTTTGGGGTGAAAAATGGGATTTTTGGGGTGGAATCATTGGGGTTTTTGGGGTGAAATTGGGGTATTTTGGGGTGAAAAATGGGATTTTTGGGGTGGAATCATTGGGGTTTTTGGGGTGAAATTGGGGTATTTTGGGGTGAAAAATGGGATTTTTGGGGTGGAATCATTGGGGTTTTTGGGGTGAAATTGGGGTATTTTGGGGTGAAAAATGGGATTTTTGGGGTGGAATCATTGGGGTTTTTGGGGTGAAATTGGGGTATTTTGGGGTGAAAAATGGGATTTTTGGGGTGGAATCATTGGGGTTTTTGGGGTGAAATTGGGGTATTTTGGGGTGAAAAATGGGATTTTTGGGGTGGAATCATTGGGGTTTTTGGGGTGAAATTGGGGTATTTTGGGGTGAAAAATGGGATTTTTGGGGTGGAATCATTGGGGTTTTTGGGGTGAAATTGGGGTATTTTGGGGTGAAAAATGGGATTTTTGGGGTGGAATCATTGGGGTTTTTGGGGTGAAATTGGGGTATTTTGGGGTGAAAAATGGGATTTTTGGGGTGGAATCATTGGGGTTTTTGGGGTGAAATTGGGGTATTTTGGGGTGAAAAATGGGATTTTTGGGGTGGAATCATTGGGGTTTTTGGGGTGAAATTGGGGTATTTTGGGGTGAAAAATGGGATTTTTGGGGTGGAATCATTGGGGTTTTTGGGGTGAAATTGGGGTATTTTGGGGTGAAAAATGGGATTTTTGGGGTGGAATCATTGGGGTTTTTGGGGTGAAATTGGGGTATTTTGGGGTGAAAAATGGGATTTTTGGGGTGGAATCATTGGGGTTTTTGGGGTGAAATTGGGGTATTTTGGGGTGAAAAATGGGATTTTTGGGGTGGAATCATTGGGGTTTTTGGGGTGAAATTGGGGTATTTTGGGGTGAAAAATGGGATTTTTGGGGTGGAATCATTGGGGTTTTTGGGGTGAAATTGGGGTATTTTGGGGTGAAAAATGGGATTTTTGGGGTGGAATCATTGGGGTTTTTGGGGTGAAATTGGGGTATTTTGGGGTGAAAAATGGGATTTTTGGGGTGGAATCATTGGGGTTTTTGGGGTGAAATTGGGGTATTTTGGGGTGAAAAATGGGATTTTTGGGGTGGAATCATTGGGGTTTTTGGGGTGAAATTGGGGTATTTTGGGGTGAAAAATGGGATTTTTGGGGTGGAATCATTGGGGTTTTTGGGGTGAAATTGGGGTATTTTGGGGTGAAAAATGGGATTTTTGGGGTGGAATCATTGGGGTTTTTGGGGTGAAATTGGGGTATTTTGGGGTGAAAAATGGGATTTTTGGGGTGGAATCATTGGGGTTTTTGGGGTGAAATTGGGGTATTTTGGGGTGAAAAATGGGATTTTTGGGGTGGAATCATTGGGGTTTTTGGGGTGAAATTGGGGTATTTTGGGGTGAAAAATGGGATTTTTGGGGTGGAATCATTGGGGTTTTTGGGGTGAAATTGGGGTATTTTGGGGTGAAAAATGGGATTTTTGGGGTGGAATCATTGGGGTTTTTGGGGTGAAATTGGGGTATTTTGGGGTGAAAAATGGGATTTTTGGGGTGGAATCATTGGGGTTTTTGGGGTGAAATTGGGGTATTTTGGGGTGAAAAATGGGATTTTTGGGGTGGAATCATTGGGGTTTTTGGGGTGAAATTGGGGTATTTTGGGGTGAAAAATGGGATTTTTGGGGTGGAATCATTGGGGTTTTTGGGGTGAAATTGGGGTATTTTGGGGTGAAAAATGGGATTTTTGGGGTGGAATCATTGGGGTTTTTGGGGTGAAATTGGGGTATTTTGGGGTGAAAAATGGGATTTTTGGGGTGGAATCATTGGGGTTTTTGGGGTGAAATTGGGGTATTTTGGGGTGAAAAATGGGATTTTTGGGGTGGAATCATTGGGGTTTTTGGGGTGAAATTGGGGTATTTTGGGGTGAAAAATGGGATTTTTGGGGTGGAATCATTGGGGTTTTTGGGGTGAAATTGGGGTATTTTGGGGTGAAAAATGGGATTTTTGGGGTGGAATCATTGGGGTTTTTGGGGTGAAATTGGGGTATTTTGGGGTGAAAAATGGGATTTTTGGGGTGGAATCATTGGGGTTTTTGGGGTGAAATTGGGGTATTTTGGGGTGAAAAATGGGATTTTTGGGGTGGAATCATTGGGGTTTTTGGGGTGAAATTGGGGTATTTTGGGGTGAAAAATGGGATTTTTGGGGTGGAATCATTGGGGTTTTTGGGGTGAAATTGGGGTATTTTGGGGTGAAAAATGGGATTTTTGGGGTGGAATCATTGGGGTTTTTGGGGTGAAATTGGGGTATTTTGGGGTGAAAAATGGGATTTTTGGGGTGGAATCATTGGGGTTTTTGGGGTGAAATTGGGGTATTTTGGGGTGAAAAATGGGATTTTTGGGGTGGAATCATTGGGGTTTTTGGGGTGAAATTGGGGTATTTTGGGGTGAAAAATGGGATTTTTGGGGTGGAATCATTGGGGTTTTTGGGGTGAAATTGGGGTATTTTGGGGTGAAAAATGGGATTTTTGGGGTGGAATCATTGGGGTTTTTGGGGTGAAATTGGGGTATTTTGGGGTGAAAAATGGGATTTTTGGGGTGGAATCATTGGGGTTTTTGGGGTGAAATTGGGGTATTTTGGGGTGAAAAATGGGATTTTTGGGGTGGAATCATTGGGGTTTTTGGGGTGAAATTGGGGTATTTTGGGGTGAAAAATGGGATTTTTGGGGTGGAATCATTGGGGTTTTTGGGGTGAAATTGGGGTATTTTGGGGTGAAAAATGGGATTTTTGGGGTGGAATCATTGGGGTTTTTGGGGTGAAATTGGGGTATTTTGGGGTGAAAAATGGGATTTTTGGGGTGGAATCATTGGGGTTTTTGGGGTGAAATTGGGGTATTTTGGGGTGAAAAATGGGATTTTTGGGGTGGAATCATTGGGGTTTTTGGGGTGAAATTGGGGTATTTTGGGGTGAAAAATGGGATTTTTGGGGTGGAATCATTGGGGTTTTTGGGGTGAAATTGGGGTATTTTGGGGTGAAAAATGGGATTTTTGGGGTGGAAATTGTTGGGGTTTTTGGGGTGAAAAATGTGGTTTTTTGGGGTGGAATTATTGGGGATTTTGGGGTGAAAAATGGGGGTTTTTTGGGGTGAAATTGGGGGATTTTGGGGTAAAATATTGGGATTTTTGGGGTGGAATTATTGGGATTTTTGGGGTGGAATTATTGGGATTTTTGGGGTGGAATTATTGGGATTTTTGGGGTGGAATTATTGGGATTTTTGGGGTGGAATTATTGGGATTTTTGGAGTAAAATTATTGGGGATTTTGAGGTGGAATTTGGGTATTTTGGGGTAAAATTATTGGGGATTTTGAGGTGGAATTATTGGGATTTTTGGGCTGGAATTATTGGGATTTTGGGGTGAAATTGGGCTATTTTGGGGTAAAATTGTGGGGTTTTGGGGTGGAATTATTCGGTTTTTTTTGGACACATTAATCCGGGAATTTTGGCGCCAAAACCCGGCGTTTTTTTGGGGGTCGAAACCCTCAACAAATTTCCCTTCCGGGGCAGTCCCGGACGCCTCCCCGCCCTCCATCTACCTGCTGGCCCCGCCCACCGAGCAGCTCCGCCTCCACACCTGGGCCACCCTCACCTGCCTGGTGCGCGACTTCAACCCGCCCGACCTCCTCGTCCAATGGCTGCAGGACGGCCGGCCCCTCCCGCCGGGCCGCGCCCTCACCTTCCGGCCGCGCCCCGACAACGGCCACGCCCCTTCCGGCCGCGCCCACCTGGCCGTCAGCACCTTGACGGTGCCGGCGCGGGACTGGGAGGGCGGCGGCGTCTTCACCTGCCTGGTGGGGCACGAGCGGCTGCCGCTGCGGCTGGCCCAGAGGTCGCTGGACAAGGCTGCCGGTAAACCCGCCAACGTCAACGTTTCCCTCGTTTTTAGTGATGCCCTGAGTGGTTGTTACTGAAATTCCGGTTTTTTTCCCAAAAAAAATGCACTTTGGTAGAGGAAAATAAAGGTTTTGCAAAAAAAACGGCGATTTTTAGCTCAAAAATGCGGTTTTTTAGCATGATTTGAACCCAAAAATTGAGGTTTTGTAAAGAGTTTTGAGTCCGTTTCCGCCAAAATACGTGTGTTTGACAAAAGCAAAATTTTGCCCAAAATTTGGCTTTTTTCCCCCAAAAAATGCCATTTTTGCCAAGTTTTTCCACAAAAAATGTGATTTCTATCAAAAAATATCGATTTACTATGAAATCTACCAATTTTTCCCAAGCAGACCAAATTTTCCCCAAAAGTGGCCATTTTTTCCCAAAATCTCCACTTTTTCACCCAAAAAATCCCAAATTTTCCCACCAAAAATTACCAATTTTTCTCAAAAAAATTCGCTTTCCCTCAGAAGTGAATTTTTCTCCAAACCCACCAATTTTTCCCGAAAAATCCTCAATTTTCCTTAAAAAATCGCCATTTTTCCATACAAAAACCCCATTTTTTCCCCATTTCGGCCACGCCCCTCTCTGGCAGCCACGCCCCTTCCGGCCACGCCCCTTCCGGCCACGCCCCCTGCCTGGTGAGGCACGAGCGGCTGCCGCTGCGGCTGGCCCAGAGGTCGCTGGACAAGGCTGCCGGTAAACCCGCCAACGTCAACGTTTCCCTCGTTTTTAGCGACTCCCTCAGCGGTTGTTACTGAAATTCCCGTTTTTTTCCCCCAAAAAATGCACTTTGGTAGAGGAAAATAAAGGTTTTGCAAAAAAAACGGCGTTTTCGCAGCAAAAATGGCGATTTTTTGCCCAAAATTGTGGTTTTTTAGCATGCTTTGAACCCAAAAATTGAGGTTTTGTAAAGAGTTTTGAGTCCGTATCTAGCAAAATGAATTTTGTTGAGAAAAAACGAAATTTGCCCAAAATTTGGTTTTTTTCCCCCAAAAAATGCCATTTTTGCCAAGTTTTTCCACAAAAAATGTGATTTCTATCAAAAAATATCGATTTACTATGAAATCTACCAATTTTTCCCAAGCAGACCAAATTTTCCCCAAAAGTGGCCATTTTTTCCCAAAATCTCCACTTTTTCACCCAAAAAATCCCAAATTTTCCCACCAAAAATTACCAATTTTTCTCAAAAGTATCCACTTTTTCTCAGAAACAATTTTCTCCCCAACAGACCAACTTTTCCCCAAAAGTGGCCATTTTTTCCCAAAATCTCCACTTTTTCACCCAAAAAATCCCAAATTTTCCCACCAAAAATTACCAATTTTTCTCAAAAGTATCCACTTTTTCTTAGAAACAATTTTCTCCCCAACAGACCAATTTTTCCCCAAAATCACCCAAATTTTCCCCAAAATCACCCAATTTTTCCCCAAAATCTCCACTTTTTCACCCAAAAAACCCAAATTTTCCCACCAAAAATTACCAATTTTTCTCAAAAAAATTCGCTTTCCCTCAGAAGTGAATTTTTCTCCAAACCCACCAATTTTTCCCCAAAAAAATCCCCAATTTTTCCTTAAAAAATCGCCATTTTTCCATACAAAAACCCCAATTTTTCCCAATTTTGGCCCCGCCCCTCTCCGGCAGCCACGCCCCTTCCGGCCACGCCCCTTCCGGCCACGCCCCCTGCCTGGTGAGGCACGAGCGGCTGCCGCTGCGGCTGGCCCAGAGGTCGCTGGACAAGGCTGCCGGTAAACCCGCCAACGTCAACGTTTCCCTCGTTTTTAGCGACTCCCTCAGCGGTTGTTACTAAAAATTGGGAGTTTTTCCCGAAAATTGCACTTTTTTAGCATCGGAAATAAAGGTTTTGCAAAAAAAATGGCGATTTTTTGCCCAAAAATGCGGTTTTTTAGCATGATTTGAACCCAAAATTTGAGGTTTTGTAAAGAGTTTTGAGTCCGTTTCCGCCAAAATACGTGTGTTTGACAAAAGCAAAATTTTGCCCAAAATTTGGCTTTTTTCCCCCAAAAAATGCCATTTCTACCATGTTTTTCGGCCTAAAATGTGATTTTCCCCACCAAAAATCCGATTTTTCCCACTATATCTTTTTTCTCCAAACTGACCATTTTTTGCCCAAAAAAGACTCATTTTTTCCCAAAATCTCCACTTTTTCACCCAGAAATTCCCATTTTTTGCATCAAAAATTGTCAATTTTTCCTGAAAAATATCAGCTTTTTTTCAGAAACCATTTTATCCCCAGCAGACCAAATTTTCCCCAAAAGTGGTCATTTTTTCTCAAAATCTCCACTTTTTCACCCAAAAAAACCCAAATTTTCCGGCCAAAAATTGCCAATTTTTCTCAAAAAAATCTGCTCTTTCTCACAAACCAATTCATCCCCAAACCCACCAATTTCCCCCCAAAAATCCCCAATTTTCCCTAAAAAATCGCCATTTTTCCATACAAAAACCCAATTTTTCACAATTTTGGCCCCGCCCCTCTCCGGCAGCCACGCCCCTTCCGGCCACGCCCCTTCCGGCCACGCCCACCGGCCAACGTCAACGTTTCCCTCGTTTTTAGCGACTCCCTCAGCGGTTGTTACTGAAATTCCGGTTTTTTTCCCCAAAAAAATGCACTTTGGTAGAGGAAAATAAAGGTTTTGCAAAAAAACCGGCGTTTTCGCAGCAAAAATGGCGATTTTTTGCCCAAAAATATGGTTTTTTAGCATGCTTTGAACCCAAAAATTGAGGTTTTGTAAAGAGTTTTGGGTCCGTTTCCACTAAAATGAGTTTTGTTGAGAAAAAATGAAATTTGCCCAAAAATCGGCTTTTTTTCCCCAAAAATTGTCATTTTTGCCAAGTTTTTCCACGAAAAATCTGATTTATATCAAAAAATATCGATTTTCTATGAAATCTACCAATTTTTCCCTAATCCACAAATTTTTCTCCCAAACCAACAGATTTTTCCCAAAATCGACACTTTTTTACCCAAAAAATCCCATTTTTCCATCAAAAATTACCAATTTTTCTCAAAAATATCCACTTTTCCTCACAAACCAATTTTCCCCAAAATCTCCACTTTTTCACCCAAAAATTCCCATTTTTCCCACCAAAAATTCCCGATTTTCACCCAAAATTGCCAAATTTTCTCAAAAAAAATCCATTTTCCCCAAAATCACCCAATTTTCCCCAAAATCTCCACATTTTCACCCAAAAATTCCCATTTTCCCACCAAAAATTCCCAATTTTCACCCAAAATTTTTCACTTTTTCCCCCCAAAATTCCCATTTTCCCTACAAACCAAATTTTCCCCAAAATGATGGATTTTTTCCCAAAATTGCCACTTTTTCCCAAAAAAAATTCCCATTTTTTTTCCCATCCAAAATGTCCCATTTTTCCCAAAAAATCTGATTTTTCTCGGACCCCCATTTTCCCCAAAAAATCCAAATTTTCACCCCAAAATCTTCACTTTTTCACCCCAAAATTCCAAAGTTTCTCACGCAAAAATAATCTCCTTTTCATTAGAAAATTTTCCCCAAAAAATCCCAATTTTTATCCCAAAAAATTCCCAATTTTACCCCAAAAAATCCCAAATTTTCCACCCAAAAAATCCAATTTTTCTCCCCAAAAATTCCCCATTTTCACCCCCAAAAAACCCCAAAATTGCAAAAAATCGATAAAATTCCCAAATTTTTCCCAAAAATCAAGAACTTTTCCCAAATTTCCGCCCGAAAATTTCCCCAAAATCCCGAATTTTTCCCCCAAAAATGGCAAAAATTCCATAAAATTCCAAAATTTCCCAAAATCCAGGAAATTTCTCCCCGAAATTCCCGATTTTCTTCCCCAAAATTCAATTTTTTTTGCCCAAAAATGGGGAAATTTTGACCTCAAATTTTTGGGTCCAAAAGCGCCGATTTTGGGTCAATCCGGGAGGGGGCGGCGGCCACCAGGGGGCGCTGCAGGGCGGGGGATTTTTGGGTGAAAAAATCCCAAATTTTGGGGCTGAAAAAATCCCAAATTTTGGGGTAAAAAGTCTCAAATTTGGGGTGAAAAATCCCAAATTTTGGGGTGAAAAATCCCAACTTTTTGGGTAAAAATTCCCAAATTTTGGGGTGAAAAAATCCCAAATTTTGGGGCTGAAAAAATCCCAAATTTTGGGGTAAAAAGTCTCAAATTTGGGGTGAAAAATCCCAAATTTTGGGGTGAAAAATCCCAAATTTTGGGTAAAAAAATTAACGATTTTGGGTGTAAAAATCTCAATTTTTGGGGGGAAAATTCCCAAATTTTAAGGTTAAAAAATTCCAAATTTTGGGGATAAAAACCCCCA